CTCAAAGGGTTCAAGAAGGACTTGGTCCAGCACGATGGTCTCAGTCGTATCTTTGCTACTATCAAGACGACACCTCGCGTCGAAGATCTACCGGAGAAGTACAAGGCATTGCTCAAATGGGCACGCATCAGTCTCGCATCGACCATCTTCCAGATCTTTATGGGAAGCGATAACTCGTCCGAGATCTTTACGCAGATGAAGCGGATGCATGGTATGATGCCCTACTTTATGCTTCGTGGTATTCTGCGTATCTCGAACCCTATGGCGATGGTAAGAGGCGTGCTGGACATTTTCCTCGCTCAACCATTTGGACAACGCAGTTTGCTACAGCGTATGTTCTCAAGCAGCTTGCAGGACGAGGTGCGCGAGCTGGACGAAATTTGTGCTGCTATCTCTGCCAAAGTTGACGATCCGGTCACTTGCGAGAAAGTGCGATTGTTTGTGTACGCACCTTCCGAGATCCAAGCTCTGTACCGTCAAGACGCAGAGGAAGAACGCTTGGATCTGCTCACCACCATTCTTCGTTCGCAAGAAGCTCCCGCACTCGGTCGAGCGCAGATTCACCGCGTCGTGAAAGCAAGTCAAGCATACGAGGTGTACAAAGAGTACCGCCGTGGCCTCAAGAACCCTGACCTCGAAGATGAAGGTCCGCAAGACGACGATGCTTGGCTGTACGAGGATTTGCATGTCTTGATCAAGATGCTTACTCGTAAGCGCGATAAGGAGCAGCTTATTTCGTTGATCTTTGAGGGCGTTACTGCGGAGTTGTTGAAGGACATGGTTACGATCTTCTACTCTCCCCTTGCTCAGGTGTACAAACTTGCGAATATTGCTGATAGCTTGTCGGATCTACAAGCGTTTATTACGGACTTGATCAAGACGGTTGAAGCGAATGAGGAGCTCAGCTATACCGATCCCACACGCACAGTGCAGGTATTCGTGGACCTTGTGGAACGACACGAAGGAAAGTTCTACAACTTTGTCCATCAGGTTCATTCGAAGGGTTCGGGATTGTTCGATGGGTTGATGCACTGGATTGAGCTATTCATCAACTTTGTTCGTGGGAATGAAAGGTCTGCTGAGGCTGTTTCGCAGCAGCCTAGTAAGGACTCGGATGAAGCGTTCAAACAACAGGGCGGGATTGGAGAGGTGGACCTGGAGATCTGCCTGCCTGCTGGTGGTGAGGAGCGGAAGAGGGCGTTGGATGAGATTGATGCGCTGGTGCTGTATGCTTATCGGCTCAAGTTTGTTCGCGAGCTAAAGCTGAGGAGGAAGCTGGCGGATCGAGAAGTTGCTGGGCTGGCAGGTAAGCTGATTGGTGCAGAGAAGAAGAGGAGAACCAATGGGCTTAGCGAGGAAGATGATAGCGCATTTGTCGGTGCTATGGTGGAGAACCTTGGTGTGGGTGATATCTTTACCGGAGAAGTGGCGGATGCAGAAGCAGAAGAGGAGGAACTCGAGACTTCTGATGAGGACGAGTCTGAAGATGAGGAAGATGTGGATGGAAACGGCCGACCTCGTCTGAGCCGCAACCAGTCTAGCGATAGTGATGAGACAGCGGAAAGTGATGAAGCAGCTGCACCACGATGGAGACCCACTCCTTCTCGCCAGACCACTCTCACTCAAGAAAACCTAAAGACCGTGGAGAAGGACCTCCCAACCCCGCCACAAGCAGCGTCCACAGAGGCGAGTCACGGAGAAAAGGCCCGCAGACGTCGCAAGATCCCAGCACCGAAAGCACCGGAACTCAAAGTGCTGCCGGAGATGCTTCCACTATTTGCGGAGATGGTCAGGCCTCTGCTTCGGCCAGCCAGGACGGCTAGCGCTTCGAGCTATCGTTCGAACAGCTATGATCCCCATCAACAGCAGCAGGGGCAGCAGCAGCGCGGAGGCATCGATCGATTGACGACTAACTTGCAGGGCATAGACTTGGCAGCGACGTCGAGTCCGACTTCGTATTTTTCTTCGCCGTTCGCGACTCCAAGGGGCAATGGCAGTCAGGGTCAACAGGGCGTCGAGCGATTACCGGGAGAGTACAAGTGGTAGTCATTGCTCATCTTTCATCATTGTTTCTTAATCGATTGAAAGGATCATGCACCAGAATGCTGATTTTCGACTTGTGATTGAATCGTTTTCCGATGCCTTGGTGTGCTATAGTTGAAGATACGTCGGCATTCCAATCGGACTTAAAAGGTTTACCCGAGACACCGATAGAGCAAGGTCGTGAATAAACAACATGCCTGCAAAATGTATGAAAGGTTGTCATGGCAACGAATCAGGAGCATTGCAGGAAGTACTCGACTCATCCCAGTATGGCGTGCTAAGAAGAAGATGCTAAGGTATATATATGCCCTTGTAGTTACACTCATCCATAGCAATGATCAAGTATTCAAGAAGTCATATACCTATGGTAAAGAAGCCTGATCGTGGCTTCGAAGAGGTGTATCACGCTTTGCTATATTTCAACTGCTATATAAGACATCTGGGCTTTGTTGAGGTGTTGTGAAGTGGCATTTTTCAAGTTTGTTACAGTTTGAGTACAAACAAATTCGCCAGCGGAGATTTTGAAAGATTGCGTGCTTGAAAAAGCCTTAAGGCAGCTGTGTTGTGGCTGGTTTTTCTTCCTGATGCCACGGTCGGCGTGATATCGGGAAGATCTCTCTTTGCCTGCAGCCAGTTCTTCTCAAAAAAGTTAGATCCGGATCCGACAAGAACTTCTGACTTCTTGAGGCTCGAATGGCCCCTACACCTACCTTGTCCTCTTCTACCATCAACTCTATACTACCCCTTGCTCTACCGAAGATGCACGCTATGCTCAAGTCAGGTCTGAGCACGGCCGCCAAGGTCTCTCGTTCGCGCTCCACCGCCGGTGCTGTCCGTACGCTAGCCACCGTCTCCGACTCTTCCGTTCAACATGGTGCTTCCGGTTCCAGCAGCCACAAGGTTGTCGTCATTGGTGGTGGTTCAGCTGGTATGGCTGTAAGTCACCAGCTCATTCGATCCGGTGCCTTTGCTCGGGATGACATTGCCATCGCCGACCCTTCCGAATGGCACCACTACCAGCCGGGTTGGACTCTTGTAGGTGGCGGTCTCAAGGACAAGCGTGATCTTCGCCGACCTCTCGCCTCCCTCCTCGATCCTAAGCTCAAGCACTACGCTTCTGCCGTCGACACATTCGCCCCTGACCAGAACAAGATCACTCTCGCAAACGGCAACACTATCGCATACGATCAGCTCGTCGTCGTCCCCGGTCTCAGCATCAACTATGACACTATCAAAGGGTTGCCCGAAGCCCTCGCTGACTCTTCCTCGCTCGTCTCCACCATCTACGGCTACAATACATGCGACAAGGTCTTCGACACCATCTTGAAGCTCAAGTCGGGCAAAGCGATCTTCACTCAGCCTGCCGGTGTGATCAAGTGTGCCGGTGCACCTCAGAAAGCCATGTGGTTGGCATTGGACCTCTGGAAGAAGGATGGTCTCTACAACTCCGCTAACCCTTCCAACTCGCCTATCTCGATCGACTTTGCTACCGGTCTGCCCGTCATGTTTGGTGTCCCCAAGTACAGCGAGCGTCTGAACGAGCTTCGTCAGCAGCGCGGTGTCGAGGGTTTGTTCGAGCACGACCTTGTTGCGATCGAAGGCAACACTGCTGTTTTCAATCGACCCAACGGTGCCGAGCAGGTGCGAAAGCAGTTCGACTTGCTTCATGTCACACCAAAGATGGGTCCGCTTGCAGTGATCAAGAACAGTCCGTTGGCAGATGGAGCTGGATTTGTGGATGTCGATCAGGGAACAACACGACACAAGAGATTCGACAACGTGTGGAGTATTGGTGATGCTTCTTCGTTGCCCACCTCAAAGACGGCTGCTGCTATCACGGCTGAGGCTCCGGTATTGGTGCGTAACTTGGGTCAGGCGTTGGAGGGTAAGGAACCTGATGCAGCGTATGACGGATACACGTCGTGCCCATTGCTCACTGAGTACGGCAAGGTTATGCTTGCGGAGTTCAAGTACGGTGGCCAGCCCAAGGAGACCTTCGGTTCGCTTTTTGGTATTGACCAGAGTGTGCCAAGAAGGGCATTCTATCACTTGAAGAAGGACTTGTTCCCTTGGGTCTACTACAACTCGTACGTCAAGGGAACATGGAGTGGACCTAAGGGATTCTCTTTCACTGCAGCGCCAATCAGCCCAGAAGCTGTTGCAGGCAAGCGTTCTTTCTCTTCCCTTAGCAACTCCCGCAACAGCAACACAATCCCTGGCTCGCGACGAGGCTTTGCAACCTCCAGCGTCGGTCTCCGCAACACCCCCGCTCGTCGACCACGCGATCCCCTCGACGCTTCCCCTGATGCTACGCGACACACCCTCCCTACAGGCGAAACCTTCATCGTCCGTCCTCCCCCCACCGCTACCCCCGTCCGCTCCACCATCTATCAACCTCAACCCCTCCTCAACGCCCAACCCTCCTCTCCCGCCGACGAATCTTCCCTCCCACCCGCACTCCGACCTCGCTCGCATTGCGCCTCGTCACAGAACAAATCCTCTGCTATCACACCCAAGCAGATCGCAGAGATCCAGCGCCTGAGGAAACAGGACCCAATCGTCAACACCAAATCCAAACTTGCACAGCGGTTCAATTGCAGTCCACTCTTCATCTCCATCGCCGCACCCCTACCTAAAGCGGTGAAGCAGGTGAAGAAACAACAGGATGATCTGAAGAAGCAATCTTGGGGTATGAACAAGAGAGTTGCTCGTGCTGAGAGGGAGGAACGTCGTTTGCTCTGGTAGATTCACCGCCTTGCATCAGTGTAGCTTGTAATATATACTTCCTTTCCAGACTACACCGACCGCAAAAAGAAACCTGTGAGCAGAAGGGTCTGTGACCTCAATTAGGCCCGGAGTTGGACAACGAAAGATGGTTCAATTACACCGTGCGGGTAAGCTCTATATGCGTATATGTAAAGCAAATAAGGCTGATCTATAACATTCAGAATCACGGTGGCCGCTTGGCGTAGTGGTATCGCGCTTGCTTTGGGATTGACTTGAAAGAGTTCAAATTGTGAATGCAAGAGGTCACGAGTTCGATCCTCGTAGCGGCCCACGTCCGGGACACTTTTTTGCTATTTTGTTGGCCTCCATGAACGCGGAATCACGAGGGGAAGGCCCTCCAATTTTTTCGAGCAATATTTATCAGGAAATAGCCGAGTTATGGTGATTTTTAGTTTTTCGAGATGGTGTCACTGACAGGTGATTACTGCTTCGACAGCTGTTAACCACGGCAACGACAACATCTTGTACCCAGCAAACCCCACTCGACGAAGCAAATTTGTCGCCCGACCTACAGAGCATGTCCTCCATCAATCGCACAAGCGTCAACTGTAGTACAACCGAACTTTTGGACCAATCGAACCAGTGAAACATCGATGGCATAGTGCCATCCCCTTTTTCAAACATTGTTCAACTTCTCAGACTTTCGAACCGAATTCTGAAACAACCTTTGCCTAAAGCGCGGCGCTGGGGAGAGTTGAAGTTTTTGTGTGTTTGATGATGATGGTTCTAAATACAAACGTGAGTCAAGGATTTTCAAGTCTTCGCCACTCGCGCACGCTCGCAACGCACGCACGCGTGCACTGCTGAGCCCCTTTTGCGCAAGCCTTTTACTCGGCCGTAAACACTACCTCTGTGGTCTCTATGCTTTGTGCAGCTTTATCTACTTCAACTCCCCCCCTCAACAGCATATTGTCAGGGGTCGCGCGCCTGAAACCCAGGTCGGTCTGTCGAGATCCTCGGTGACTATCCAGCTGTGCGACAGCTATTGTCTCGGTCTCGGTCTCGAAGAGCTAGTTGCTCGGCAACTATCAAGTTGCGCGGTGACAGCAGGTGGCGTTGTGGTATACGCTATTGTAGGTTTCGGCTGACCTCTGTGGACACTCCGTTCAGAGGTGGCTCGGCACGATCAATATCGATATGAAGGGTATGGTGACACCAAGGTCTGGTGTGAGTGTTGATGATGATGGTGATGAGGTTGATGATGTTGGTGATGAGATTGGTGAATGTCGATGATGATGAGGATGATGGTGTTGGTGATGAAGTTGGTGGCGTCAACACGAGTGTCCAGTGTGCTGACTAATGCTTGAAGTGATCCCCGGACCGCAGTGGACTACTGCCTTCGGTTCTATCTATATCCGGACCACTAACCTACTATGGGCGCCTTCGGACGTCAGGTAGTGGTGATACAACACACACACTACGATGAGGAGCAACCTTGATAGATTGCTGCTATGCTGACTGTAACTAATGTATACTTATGCTGAAAGTGATAACTAGTTAATATGGTGAGTAGAGTGGATGAGGGTCCACTCGACCTCTGATGACGAGAGGGCATGGTTATATACCTCTTCACAGCGTCGCCAGCGACACTGCTCCTGCTCTCTCTCTCCAGAGAGTACCCTCTTCGTCGAGTACTGTACAGGGGGGCCCTCTAGCACCACTCCTGTCCTCCTGAGCTGTGTCGACTCCTTCGACACTGCTCCTCCTCCTTGCTTGGCACCCCTGTGCCTCCTGAGCAGTGTCGACTTCTTCGACACTGCTCCTCCTCCTCAGGACCTACTTGCCGGTCTCCTATACACTGCTCCTCCTCCTTCGACCGGTGATGGTTCCTTTGGCTCTTATCTCTCGAGCCCCTGAATGGTAACCATCTGCATGCTCCTTGAGCTTGGTCCTCTTCTTGGCGGCCCCTCCTCGCATATGGGCCCGCTCCTCCTTTGCATGTGAATCCGTAGGGGTCCATGGTCTCCATGGAGACTGCACTACGGCCATGCTCTCTACTGGTGCCCTCCTGCTTCCCGAGCATTCCGGCCCATGACACTACCCCCCTCTTAAGAGCCGAGCTCCGTCGAGGCATGCTCTGGTCTGGTTCATGCTGACTCTTCTCCTCCTACTCCTCTTGCTCGCTACTCCTTCCTCTGTTTATTCGTCCCCCCTCCGACACCTCATACTCCTGGATGAGGTCGGGGCAGTTGAGGTTCGAGACCGGTTCCCATGAAGCAGCTTCTTCTGAGTACCCTCTCCAGAGTACCTTGTACTCTATAACCCCATGGTGTGAACGCTTGTCGATGAGAGCTTCGACTTCGAAGTCGAGGTCCTCATCTGGGAGTGATGGTATGGTGGGCTGTTCTGCCCGTTGAGCGAGTGAGCTTGTTCTTGCTGGCTCGAGCATAGAGACATGGAACACATCATGAACCCTAAGGTTTGCTGGCAATGTGATTCGATAAGCTCGGCGTCCTATCCGTTCCTGGACTGGGTATGGTCCTGCAAACCGGGTGTCCAGCTTCAGGGTGGGTCGCCGTGTCTTCCAGTTCCGGCGGTTGATGTATACCATATCACCCACCTTGAACTCGATGTCCTTGTGCTTCCTATTGTACTGGTCTACTGTACGGCGCTGTGCCTCCCTAATCTGCTCCTGAAGGTATTTGCAACGCTTCTTCCCATCCATGAGATACTCGAAGCGACCTGGGTCATTGACTCCTAGTCGTTGAGGGATATCTGGGTGGGCCTTGGGGTTCCATCCGTAGCATGCAAAGAACGGTGAGACACCAATGCTGTTGTGGACCGTGTTGTTGTATACAAAGGCTGCAGTGTCCAGCAGGTCGGCCCAGTCATTCTGCTCATAGTTGCAGTACATCCTTAGGTACTGCTCCACGACCTGATTGACTCTCTCTGTCTGTCCGTCGGTTTGAGGATGATAGGCCGTGCTAAGCGAGTGTTTCACACCCATCTGTTCTGCAAAGGCCTTCCATGCTCCTGATATGAACTGTCGTCCTCGGTCCGAGACCATGTGATCTGGGTAGCCGAAGAGTCTAACCATGTGTCCATACAGCAGTACTGCAGTCTGCTTTGCAGTGACTGTCTTATAGGTCGGGGCCAGGATGGCAAACTTGGTCAGCCTATCGACAATGACGAGGATGGAGTCATAGTTCCTTGAAGGTGGTAGTCCTTCAATGAAGTTGAGGGATATCGAGCCCCATGGCCTGTCTGGTGTGGCAAGTGGCTGTAGCAAGCCATACGGACGATGACGAGGAGCTTTGTACCTAGCACATACTGGACAGCTAGCTACGTAGTCAGCAATCCAAGCTGTCATGCTTGGCCACCAGTAGTGTCGTTGGGCTGCTTTGATGGTGGCATCTCTTCCTACGTGCCCTGCAGTGATGCCATCATGACATTGAGTCATCACCATGAATCGCAGGTGCTCTACAGATAGAGACTGTCCATCTGCCTCCTTGGCACTTCTTGAGCGTCGGTTATTGGTCCTTCCTGGCATGGTTACCTTGGGGATAACCAACCTTCCTCCACTGTACCATAGGTCGTCCTTGACCTCGAAGGGCTTCTTCGAGTGTATCTCCTGTAGCTCTTGGTCTAAGGGCTGGAAGATCTGGACCAGGTCTTTGAGCCCTTTTGATGCTATGGACTCCATCGAGAGCATGGGAGCCACTAGGGTCGAGTCATGGTCCACGGTTTCCGCGAACACCCGAGGAGGCAGTAGTTGCCTCACGTTATGTTCCTGCTCCTCACCGGCTGGTTGCATGTCCGCTCGTCTGGTGAGAGCATCAGGTTCACCTCCCTTGTCTCCTGGTCGGTACTGCAGTATGAAGTCGAAGTCTGCTAGCAGCACTGCCCATTGAGCCTGTCTGCCAGTGATGCGTCGCTGTGACTTGAAGTACTTGAGGGCTTCATGGTCCGTGAGGATGACTAGCTGACTAGGTAGTCCAGCTAGCATGTGTCGCCATTGAGTGAGGCAGGCGACCACAGCTAGGAGCTCCTTGTCATGGATCTCATAGTTCCTCTCGGCCGAAGACATCTTCCTGGAGTAGAACGCCACTGGATGCCAGCGTTCCTCATGTTCCTGCTTGAGCACTCCGGATATAGCAAAGTCACTTGCATCGGTTTCCAACCTTGTTGGGAGGTGGTAGTCGAAGTGCTGGAGCACTCCTGCTGATGTGAAGGCCTGAATGAGCTGATGGAAGGCTTGTTGGGCCTCCTCCGGCAACTCAAACTTCTTGAAGCGTTCCGTCGGCTTCACCAGTGATGTCAATGGCTTGGCTATCCGAGCGAAGTGAGCTATGAATCTCCTGTAGAAGTTGGCAAAACCCAGGAACCGTTGGATGTCATGGATAGACGCCAGCATCGGCCATTCCTTGACCGTTCGTACCTTTTCTGGGTCCATCTCGATACCTGTTGGCTTGATGATGTAACCCAGGAACTCCACCGTCTTGATGTGGAACTCGCACTTGGACAGCTTAGCAAAGAGCCGGTTGCTCCTTAAGCGAGTGAGGACCTCAGTAACATGCTTCACATGTGACTCTTCAGTGTCACTGAAGATCAGGAAGTCATCTAGGTATACCACTACATATACTCCAATGATGTCCCGGAAGATGTCATTGATGAATGACTGGAAATGAGCGGGAGCATTGGCTAGGCCGAATGGCATCACTAGGTACTCATAGAGTCCCAACTGGGTGCCAAATGCTGTCTTCCATTCATCTCCTTTAGCAATCCGGATGAGATTGTATGCTGCTCTGAGGTCGAGCTTGGTATAGATCCTTGCTTTCCTGAGCAAGAACAGCTGCTCCTCGATGAGAGGCAATGGTGCCCTGTTCTTGACAGTGATCTCGTTGAGGCCTCGATAGTCCACACAGAGTCTGAGACCTCCATCCTTCTTTGGTACGAAGAGCACTGGTGATCGCGCTGGGCTCTTCGAGGGTCTGATGAACCCCTTCTTGAGGTTCTCGTCCAAGTACCTCCTCAACTCGGTCATCTCCTTGGGTCCCTTAAGGTACAGGGGCCCTTGAGGTGGCTTTCCTCCTTCTATCAATTCAAGGTGGAGATCATGCTCGGTATGATGGGGCAGCTTGTCTGCTTCCACTTCATCGAACACATCTCGCAGATGTTGGTATGGCTGTGGTATGTCTGCAGCCGTCACCACCTTGTCCACCTCTATCTCCATCTCTACTCCTTTGTCTGCGCCTGTAGGTACAAAACCAAAGGCCGGGAGCGATGATGGTGGCTCCTCCAACAGCATGAACCCTATGGGTCCATCTTCC